GCTTTAGATTTCTCTTTTGCAAGCTAAGCTGCCAGTTCCTTCTTGTATTTCCCTTAGAAACAGCATTTCTAGACTAATCATGACCAGGTTCAACCAAACTATAGTTTGTCAATACTGCTCTTGAATGGTGGTACCCAGAATTGAACACTAAACTTTAGAAATGGTTTTAATCACATAGAATAAAGTGATATTATATTTGTGAACTTGTTATATAGCAGCCTTCCTAATTATGTGTCAGATTGAACAAATGTTACTTAGTTACTGGGCAGTGAATCAAGTGAAGAATACAAAGATGAACCTAACACGATCCTTGCCTTTAAAGGTTTGCATAGATAGAAAAGTTACTAAAGAACAAACTAATTTTACATTAATCCTGCAGTCCATTTACATCTGAACTCACCCTTCATCACAAGTGGAAAAGGTGGAAAAGGTGGGGTGGGGATTTAGCTCAGTGGTTCTGGCGCCTGCCTTGCAGTGCAAGGACCTGAGTTCGATCCTCAGTTCAAAAAAACAAACAAAACAAACAAAAAAAGTGGAAAACGTGACTACTGTCTTTACACGGGAGTCTGTCCAGTCGATCGAAATAACTCATCCTTCACTACAAGATCAAAACTGTAAACCCAAAATTTAGTTAAAAACGAAAACACTGGGACAAGTGTTGGGCTGGAACATATATTGTCTTCTCTCCTTCTATCAAACCTGGTAGAATATTGCATGAAAAAAAATGTATGAGAGAGACAGGGGGTTAGCTCAGTGGTTCTGCCACCTACCTCGCAAGCGCAAGGCCCCAAGTTCAATTCTTGGCACCAAAAAAAATGTATAGAAATTAAAAACAGTAGGTTTATCACTGATGTGACATATTGAAGGAGAGACAACAGAACAATCAAGTGTGTGTGTAAAGGACTGAGTATTTGTAGTACATATTCCTTTAAGTCTAACTACAAAGTGTGCCAAAAAATAAAAAAATAATTTTGAGAATCTAAATGCCCTTTTATGCCATCATCAAACTGTGATCTTCAAATGGCTTTCCATTTACCTAACTTCCTCCCATTTCTCCAAGCAAAAATTAGCATCTCTCATTTTTCACCACTAATATTTCCCTTTAAAAGCTGCAGCAAACCCAGCAGCACTCCCCGGAAGTTTGCTCAGAGGCACACCACAGGTCCGGGTCCCTCAACTGTTGCGAATACTACTCCCAGATTCCTGGGCTCCTGAATAAGGAGTCATCTAATTTTCAGCATCTCCTTTTTGCTCTAGTGTGGTTCTTCAGTCCCAAGTGCCCCTGTTCCTGCAGCACATGCTCTACCAAGGTGGGTCCAGGGCCAGGGCATTTGTGAAGGAGACCTCTGTGGAGAATGGCAGGGATATTTTAACAACACCAGAGATCATCAAAGAGGGGCTGCTTGTGGCAGTGGAAGAGGTCTGATAAATGGATAATTAACCTGCAAGATCTGAAGAGCCCTCTCCTCTGCAAATGATAAAAAAATGAGAATTAAATAATGAAAATTCCCCTCACACACCCAATTAAATCCAAGAAAATATTCTAGACTTTGGCAGAAAGAAGCAAAGAAAAGTCAAAGGACTGTTTGTTGGGGGACAGGGAAATTATAATGAATAGAAAGGGGTGCATGGAGAGGTACATATATCTGTGCACACAAAGTTAGATACATTCATCATATTTGTTATATGTAACATGTTTCTTTATTAAAAAAATAGTGTTATATAGAATTTACTTTGATATTATATCTCATTTCATTATGTATAATATGTATAATTTAATTAGAAACGTGAGTTTATTTGGGCATATTTATATAATGGAAGTAGAATAAATGTAATGATTTTGAGTGTTAGCTCTAAAATCACTCTGCCTGAGACCAAATTCTAATTTTAATACTTAGTATTCCTGAGACTTTGAGCAAATTAACTTATTTAAATCTCACTTTCTTATCTGAAAAGTGGAGACCATCATAATACAAATATCACAGGATTATCATGGGATTCAGCGGTGTGCCACGTGGAAAGTGCGAGGCACCAGGTTTGTTACATAAATGTTGGTTGTATTATCTCATGTAATATTGCATGAGTGTTTTTCCATGACAAAAATTTTTAAGTATATTATTAAAATATGTTTGCAAAACGAGACACGATGTAATGATGACATGATAAATTACATGACATTTGGGTATTTTTTCAACTTAACAAAAGGGCAACACAAATAGCAAGAAATGCCTGGTCCATAAGGTGAGCCTTGAGTTGAAGCTGTTTTGGGAGTTGGTGCTCGAGAAACACCAAAACCACACTGATAATCCAGAGACGTAAAAGGATCCACGCTACAGTGAACACAGGTGAAACACTTTAAAGGACAAAGAAACGAGAGTCTTTCATAGAGCACGGTGAAAAGCTTGGCGTCTCTGAAGGAATGAGTGTGTGAGAGGTGTGTTTATCATTCCATCCCGTCCTACGGGAAAGGAGAACGTGTGGCACGTTTACCATGTTCTGTTTCTCAACATTCTGAGTCAGTAAGACACTGAATACTGGCCGTGTGATTCCTCTTTGCTGGCTTATGGAAACGTCCCCTTAATTTCTGCTATTCCTAAAGTTGTAGAAGGTTTTGAAGAAGCAACTGGTAGAAATAAAAAGGATGTCAATACCCAAAAACTATTATGAAGGACTACTGGCAGCTGCAGTTAACCACCACGTGTTTAAGAAACCATTCTCGTGTGTTTGCAGACTTCAGCCACACCTATGCCTGTGCGTCCTTCCTGGGTCCTCACCTTGGCAGTGGCGTGAGGGGACGCACCCTTCTCCAGTAACAGCAGCGCCACCTTCTGGTTGTCATAGTGAGCAGCAACATGGAGCGGGGTAAGGCCGTTCTGTAAAGGGCGTGTTTCAGTTTCAGCATTAATAAATTAGCTTTAGCTGCCCTGAAGCTACCGGGATGCATGGCAACTGTGCCAATTTAGTTTGTGTTAATTCATTAATGTATTCCATAGAAAAGAAAGAGTAAAAATAAATACACAATAACTTACATGGTAGAAACATAACTCAAATAGAAAATGAGCTTACAACAGGCAAAGGGCATCTTTATGGTCACAACAAAGAAAGGTGTAGGATGCTATGTGAGAAACACTACAGGACATCACAAGGATTATTCTTAATATAGAGAAATTATGGGCCCTGCTCTGACAAGAACATACATCTGGGCATAGCTCAAAATTCTTCCCGAATACATGTATATGTGGAAAACCATAAACAGTTATCTCTGCCATGTCTGCTTGGCAGTTTCATTGACTTTATTCATATGAGGAAAAAATATCTTCACATTCTCTAGACATATCCACTCCATTAGCTATATAAATAAAATTAAAACAGGCTACTGAAAAGCCTTACCTTCCCTGCAGAGTCTGCGGCAGCACGGCGTTGCAAGAGAAGTTTTGCCACATCCAGGCTTCCATACTTGGCTGCTACATGCAAAGGGGTAAAGCCCTTCTGAAAAGGTGAAGAAGAAAGGTAATATTTAGCATTTATCTTGCTAACTCCTAACAAAAATCTTTATTTGTTAACATATTAAGCAAACTTTGCCGATTTTCCATTTGGGAAAAATTCTGGTACATTAAAATATGTTAGCCATAAACAAAGAAATGATAAAAAATGAGATTTAACATCAAAAGTTTGGCTGATAAAGTAGGCCTAGGGATCGCACTTGAGCCCTTGTGCTTGTGAGGCAGATGGAGGAACCACTGAGCCAAACTCCGGCCACATAGACAACAAAAATTTTATTTTAAAATCTTGGTTACTGAAATGACTGCATAGGTTTGGGATTTATAATAACCACTAGTGTCAGGAAACTGGCTCTGATTTCAGAGTGGAATAAAAAAGACTGTCTTTTTTTTTTTTCTTGTCTCTAAAATTAATAAAATTGAGACAATAGCTACTTTCTATTTCTTACATTTTTATAACACTTTAACTTCAAATTTATTTATTTAAACTTTAGGATATATTGGGAGTCACAGTAAAAAAAAGAATAATTATATGTAATCCAGTTCACATATTTTTTGCAGAAACAGCAGAATACATGGGCTACAGAACAATAACGTTCCCTGTTAAAAAGCTCTTTGCATCCTGACTTTTGTCACTTTTCCTGAAGACCAACACTGTCTAAAAAACGAACTCCTCTTACGAAATGCAGTCTACGATGTTGAGACGATTGATAGGACTTTTAAACACACTCATGGTTTTCAAGCTGTTTTACAAGACAGCTATCCTACACATGTTAATATGTACCTGCTTGGTATCCTGTGTGCCTGGTCAATAGGCACACTCTGTAATGAGCAGTGTGTTGTGAATAGATACGTCCCTGCACTGAGATCCTGAGCATGGCCAAGTTCCTACCCCGTGATCTGAGATCCATTCTCTTGGCCATCTTAACCGCATGCTCTTCGCCATTAGGGTGGGAGTAAAAGCAATCTAAACTGGCCAGGATCCATAAAACACAGGCAACGCAGGCCTGCGCTGAGCTCTCTAATACACAGCTTCTCCCAGACCCTTCATGGCCTCCTCTTGAACACTGAACACTTCCGAAGAGCCAAAGTCGCCCTTCCATGGTCTCAGGAGACCAAATATTTTGAATTAAGATGACATTTTCTTTCTGCCTTTTTTTTCTTTTAAACATTTGGTACTAATATGTTTTTGGAAGAAGGAATCTCCTAGCTTTTGCTGCCAAATACAGGAAGGCTTTCTTCCTCCTGGCGTGAGTCCACGTACTCCACATTGCTGTTAAAACTCTGCTCCCCACATTGAGAGCTCATAATGATTGGGGTGATGCTCACTTCTGAGAGCACAGACACCACATCCCTGCCTCAGTTTACGCTTGCAAATTCTCTTCTGCTTGGATGCAGTATTTACACCTATATATTATGAACAAATTTAAAGGATCTTCTAACTAACCTGAATCACTGAATCTGTGGAATTATTTTGCCCAGTGAGAGTCCCTTGTTCTAGAATTTCATTTGCTTCCTTTTCCCGTTCTTCTACCCTAGTTCTATTTCTTTTGCTCCAATGAGCTGAATATGGTCACGTTTTACCCTGAGTCACCTCTAAATACTCAATTTCGAACAGAGTCTATCAAGAGGATGAAGTGTTATCCTACCTCACAACAAAACTGAACATAAGTAATATCGGGGTAGTAATATATTCTTTGTTTGCCACCAATAACAACTTTTGAAGTGTCACTTCCCAGTCCAGCTCCGTGTAGGCAGCAGTGTACTTGGAAAAGACTAACGATCAGAAAGGAAGCAGATGGCGAAACTAAGACTGGGAAAACAGGATTAAGTAAAGTGAGTTTCTGCAGAGCACTACAACCCAACATAGCACTGCCAATGTAATGTGATACTTTCTTCCTCACTAGATACCAGTTCAATATACTTGACAATCTTTTTTTTTTTTCACTCAAGAATGAATGCATCATAGATTTTATGGTAGAAATGGAAGAACATGTAAAACTGCTTTATGAGAATCATATTAATTAAAAATCCTAGATACTGGTACTAAACCAAACCAAAATAACAACAACAACAAACCCACCCTGGTATTAATTAGAAGAATACAATCCAGCATCTTTTTTTGAAGATATTACATAAAATTCATAGTCCCTTTTTGAGCATTCATAAAATGAATCTAGAATATTCATAGAAAGAAGTAAATCACAGGCGGAATAAAGACTGACCCCTCTTGACACTCTGTGTAGGAGAGCAGAGGGGCCCAATTTGGGGATTCCCTTGGTCCATGCCATTGCAAAATCATTCTCCTCACCTTGGTAGCTAAAGAGTGTGCTGCTCCTGCTTCCAAGAGCACTGACGCCACATCCACCTGGCCTTCCCGGGCAGAGATGTGCAGTGGTGTATACCCATTAGTGGTAGCCGCGTCTGGATGAGCCATGTGTTGGAGAAGCAGCTGAACAATTTCTGTCTTACCCAGGCGGGAAGCAATATGTAAAGGCGTCTGTTCCTCCTACAACTCAAGTCAAGTAAAGAGTTAGTGCCAGACAGACCACACTTCACCAGCAGTGCGAGAGGCTCATATGGTTCACCACCATCTTCTCCACTGGCTTCTTACATCTCTAAGACTCTCCACTCATGAGGAAATCATTATTATTTTGACTAAGGCTTAATTTATTCTTTGCTATATAGGTGACTTATTTAATCACAGAATTTCCCTTAGATTTTTAAGTACTGGTACTTTCATGAGTAGTACTTTTGATCATCATTTTCTGGGCAACTCAATACATTCTCAACTCATTAACACTCCAGAATTCACTTATGTTTAAATATAAACTAGCTCATGATTTTCAAGAAGAAATAAACTGAGTCCAGAAATCCTAAGACTTAAGATTCTTCTTCAAGAGCTTTCCCTTAAAGGCAGGGTTTACTCTGGGAACTGTATCAAGAGAAAAATTAGAAATCAGGGAAGCTTCCAGGGAAGCTGCAAAACCTTGTTCTTAATTCTGCTCAGCCAGCCAGGGATACAAAGGCTGGTAATGTTCTTCAAGAAGAAACCACAGACAGAGGAGAACTGTAAACTGGTTTTGAAACACTTCCAGGAAGTGTTGCAGATGGGCCTGTGACTTACATCGAGGACTTCAAAGAGAAGAAACTTCAGCAAGAAGCAAATGGAATGAACTTTTTGTCAAAGAGTTCTGAGTTGAGACAAAAACAGAATATAGCTGGGTAGAAGGCAGGACGGACGTTTGAGGAGGCTCAAGGAATCACCCAATTCTAAGGTACAGTTAGAAATAGTGCTTTCAGGATTAAGAGAACCAGGCCAACCACTGCCTCTTGTAAAAAGTAAATTGAGTGTAACCTTAGTGATGAAAAGGGATATATATTATGATCTGCCCAAGGGCGTATCATAACAAAAGTGAGGAAGGAGGGCTGGGGATTTGGCTCAGTGGCTCCACTGCCTGCCTTGCAAAGCATAAGGACCCGAGTTCGATCCCCGGTACCAAAAAACAAAGAGGAAAGAAAAGCTGGGCTCATTTCTACAGCTAAGAATGAATGGGGGAAAGAAAGATAAAATAGACTTGTCCTAATAATGTATACTTTAAAAGTTATAAGAAAAAGAAGAAGCAACTATAGAAAGAATAGCACTGCATGAAATTCAAGGTGGTAAAAAGTAAGTAATAGTAATATAATTATTTAGTAATAGAATTGGGGTTTTATAAAAACTTGCAAGTACAAATTTCCCTCATATATGATATATATGTAATATGATAGATCTGAAAGGAGTCATAAAATGTATGATTAGACTATTGTTCAAATAAAGAGATTAAGAGGAATTTACTAAGTTTTCAAGAATTTTTCAAGGTCATTAAAATATTAAAAAGAGGCTTGGGGCCAGGGATTTGGTTCAGTGGTTCCGTCGCCTGGCTCGCAAATGCAAGAGCCAAACAAAGTTCCATCCCTGGTACCAAAAAGACAAACAAACAAACAAAAATAAAACAAAAACAAAAACAAAAAACAAGGCTTGAATTCAGGGACTGAATTCTAAAGACAATGTTTCTTTGCCTATATACTCTAAGAAATCATATGGTAAGATAGTTATGAGAAAAACTAACAGGAGAAGATACCTCTCAATAGGAATGGAGACAATGAGCATGTATAAAAGTAAGTGCTTAGCAAAACAAGTAACATCCATCAAAAAATTAAGGATGGGCCGGGGATTTAGCTCAGTGGTTCGGTGGCCTGCCTTGTAAGCGCAAGGACCAGAGTCCAATACCCAGTACCAAAAAAAAAAAAAAATTAAGGAATTTGATACAAACTACAGTGAACATCTATTTCTGCTGGGTTTCCTTTCTCAGATTCAGCCCTGCAGAACTTGATAGAGGTGGGTGTAAAATTCAGCACAGTCTAAAATTGTGTTCTTCAGTGGGGGTGGGGCCGGCAATGATGCCCCTGTAACCCACAGGTGAGAAGCGACATCCCCTTGACTGGGGGTTGATGCTGATAACTGGTTAGTGGATCTACCAAGTGTTCTTTCAGTTCCCTGAGCTCATAGCATTAAAGTAGTTTCTTCCTCTAAATTAAGAAATAAGCTGTCTCATCCACTTTCTACAACTTTTGGTATAGCCCTATCTAAAAGAAAAGAACATGCAGACTTTGTTAAGAAAATCTTTAACCCATAACCAGGGATGTAAGAACTTTTTATGTTTGGACTTTTCTTTCTATACTGAATTGCAAAAGCTGAATGTGCTGTCCCAAGCTAAAGTTAATGGAACACAAAGCAAAGCACTGGGAAAGTGCAAGGGACTCAGGGGAAGAAAGAAAGTTGGGTTGCCGGTATCTGATCCCCTACACCTCCTCCCAACATGAGAAGCAAAAATTTCTTCCTCATGAAGCATCACTGACTGATACAGCCTGAGCCAAAAGTAGTGAGCTCGGATTTTCTAGCAGAGCCTCCCATGTTCCTCTACTCCAAGGCTACCAAAGTCAGAGAACAGGATGAGCCCCAAGTCCTTTCACAAATGGACAGAAAACAGCAGCTCAAATTTTGGTTAGGGTTAGTTACTAGTTTCAGGGTTCCCAGGAACCAAGCAAAGTTTTATTGAGTTCAGTTTCAAGTAAGCTTAAGCTTAGGGACCTTGTGTTTGCTCAATTCCTAAAGCACAGCCCAGGCCCCATCACTGTGCCAATACGAAAGCTCCTAAAGCAAGAAAGATCCTTCCTGGGAGGTCCATAGGTAACATGGATAAGAAGGGCCTTCCTCAGGGCAAGGCCTGGAGCAAACACACTGCCCGGTGACCAAGTAACTTATGCCACTGTAACCCTGGCTCTCCACTCTGCCCAGAAAAATAAGCCCCACACCCTTGCCTGAAGAGAGAATGCACTTTTAAATTAGAAACAGTATTGTGATTATAGGATTTATTTTTATACATTGGGATCTTATACCTTTACATGACAGGTCTTGGTTCTCATTTTTTCCCCTTACCCCTGCCCTCCCTTCACCCCCTCCTCCCTTCCCTATTTACAAAAACTTTATTTGCATTTTTTCATTTTTTTTTCTTTTGTGGCCATACTCTTAAGTGAAACAAACAGGACACATGTGTAAATACCGAATAGTTTCTCTGGTGTGAAAAACTAAAAATGTAAACAAGTTCAAATTGTATAACTGATAATATGAAATAGGAATAAAGGGGCTGAAGGAGTAGCCTTTAGTGGGAAAAGTAGGGGAAAGGAAAGAAGAGAAAAGAAAAATATGAGAAAAGGAAAAAATGGAGACAAAGTCTTTGTAAATAGAGAAGGGTGAAGGGGGTGAAGGGAGGGCAGAGGAACAGGGAAAAATAAGAACCAAGACCTGTCATGTAAAGGTACAAGATCCTAATGATGAATGTAACTGTACTGTGTACCTAAAAAGTACCAATAAACTTAATGAAAAAAAAGACTAAATGGAGTTGCCAAAGAGAAATAGAAAAATAGAACTAGATAAACCTACATGTTAAATAAATACATAAATGAGTGAATGTCACTGCATTTTAAAGGAGAGAGTCTAGCTAGTAGTGTTTTCAAGGAAAGTTTCTGATGATATCTAGAAAGGTGTAAGGCCAATATAGGTTAAATTAATGTAGAAAAACTGGCATAAATACATGAAAATGAATACATTTCTATTGAAATAGAATAAATTAAATTTGAAAATTAGAAAAATATTAAAGACAAGAGAAACGAGAAGCTCTTTTATTATTAAATATGGGTTACAAAAATTATCAGAAACATTATTGCAATTTCTGGTTCAAAAAAATAACACTGTTCATTATACACAGAGTGCACTGGTTGATTCTAAAAGCTTTTTTTAAATAGAAGAATGCCAGGTTACCTTAAAAGGAAACAAGAAAAATGCCATGGCATGGGAAAATACAGTTGAATAACAAAAGATCTAAATATATAACACTATAATGAATTTATGATGATAACCAAAGAATATAAATGGCACCGCTTTCCACAGATGGGAAGCCAGATGAGGTCTAAGTCTGCCAACCACTGAATTCAGCATAATGATCCGTGGGACTCATTAACAGAAAATGCCTATTAAATTCACGGAGTCAGAAAATGTTAAGAATTTTGAGATAACTATATCCAACTCCAAATTTCAATGATAAAGATAAAGAAATGCAATGATTTTCCTAAAACATTGTAATTTTATGACTCCAGATAGACTCCATACAACCCTGTTTCTCTAGTGGGGCCATGATGGTGTGACTCAAACTGGAGCGTTACCAAGTGCTGGAGAAGGAGAGAAAGTGTTTAGTCCGTGAGAATCCCAACAATGAGAGTGAAAATGTTAGTGGAATAATGTGGAACAGGAAATAGAAGACATAGGACATGGAGAGAATCCCTGATAACTCGGTGTGTAAGAGAGGAGAGAAAAGAGTGAGAAATGAAATTCAGAAAAAAATAAGGAGAAAAGAAAATCAGAAGTGATTATTAAAAGGACAAATCTGACGATGGAATCTACAGAGTCAAAACCCTTCTGTTTTGTAAAACATCTACTATGTAAAACTTACAACAGGAAATTGGCTTTATTACAGAGAAGAGGAAAGTAAAACAGATCAAGGGAAAACAAACTGTGAGGATAATTTGATCTAAGTAACTTGGTAAAGAACAACTGTGAAAATATATTTTTAGTGCTAAGAAATTCATTTCAATATGTACAGCATTTTATAATGCAGGTAAGTTTAAAATAAATATGTGAAAGTGCTTTTGTAGGTTAAAAATTATTAAAATTTAAGTCAATGTTGTATTCTTAGTTACTCAAATGCAGATATTTTTTAATGCTTCTGGAATTTGGGTGCAGTTTTCACTGTATACACTCACATAGTTTTTCTTTTCTGTCTGAACAACTGTCATCAAACTGATGTTTTTGCTTATGCCCCCAAGACCCAAAAGAATAAATCCCTCTTAGAGATGGACCATGCACCATGCAGTACCAGAGAAGCTCACAGCACCACCACCTACCCTGGCTCTGGCATCAACAAGGGCACCATTTCTCAGGAGGCACCGGACCACTTCTACTTGGCCAGCCCGGGCTGCCATGTGCAGGGCTGTCTCCCCACGCTGTGGGAAAGAGATTGTCCAGTCATAAATAAACCCAGTGCTTTGGATAGTACAGAATAAAGGAGTCCCTTGTGTGAAATTCAGCAATACATCTAAGGATTTAAGAAATCTATGAGAAGGTATAATTGTTAAATTTGGAAAAAATATAGTTTTTGTATCTTCTCTATCTTTACAAGAATAAAAGCAAATGTTTTCTATTTGTTTCGGTCCATGACCAATTTAGTAAACTTACCCAAGCATCCAGAATATCCTGTGGTTCAATTTCTCAATCTAGCCAAACTGACACTGGTTTTAGTGATGACATTAGCTTTCATTCTACAACCCTAAAATCTATCATTGATCCCATCTCAATCATAAATTTCAGTTGCTGAAGATCAGATCAATACACTGCAAAAAGTCATTACCACCTGTACCATACATCAATGATTTCTTTCCAAAATTCAAATTTTGTTTCTAAAATAAACGATTATTTTACATCTGATTTGTCTTAGTGTTGTGAAACTAGACAATAAATGTTTATGTAAGAAATCTGACTTGCCTAGGAAATATCCTACTGAATGTTCATAAGCACATGTGATTATAGACAGTGATCTGGGAGAGCTACCGAGACATAGTGAGGTAGCTGTGAACAGCAGCATCTACTGAGGTCAGTGGCACTGAGCAGCAACTGAGCCCTTTGGTATCTCCACACAGGACATACTTTTCGGAAGCAGCAAGGATGAGGGTTAGTCATGGGGTGACCTACTCACTAGGAACCCTGTTATGACGGCCAAAGGCAGGATTCCATTCATTCAAGTGATTTTACCATTAGAACAATGAATCGGAATAAGTCATTACAGAGTGACTTGATGTAACTATTCTAGAGCATAAGACTGATTTCAATTAACAAACTAAGCCATTCCAAATCTACAAAAGTGATTCTAAATTTGGTTGTGGGAAATGGATGTTCTGGACAAACTCCTGTGAAAGATGTTATCACTTTGGCACAACAAACCCTTAAATCTAGAAGCATCAGGGCTTTAAATCTAGAACTTCAGGGTTGCTCTGAACTCATTTCCCCAATACTGAGATCATTCCCTTGGAAGATATGAGAAAATCCTGTTAAATGGTCAGATTGTGGAAGCATTAAATGCAGTATCTGCTTTAGTTTTCTCTTCTTCTCTGATAACTCCTCCTCTAGTGCCCTTATTCTGTTGGCAACATTTGACCTTTGTAGAGTAAATGTATCTGGAATATGTTGTTTTATGAAATGATACATTATTGGAGTAGGAATATTTGCCTTCAGGTTTTAAACATATGGCAAGAGTTTTCTTTTTATTAAAGATTTTTCTATGAATCATGATTTCTAACTTGTTTTCTATATCACTTAAGACCTATCTCTAAGTGGATGAGACTAAGATTGTCAAACTAATTAAAAAAACTCAAACCTTTATTTCTGGGTCTAGTAAAATGTAGCAGTTTTACTAATTTTGGAAGAAATAAAGGTACAGACAAATTTTCTTAGTGAAGACAAAAAGGCCCCAGGAGTTCCTACTAAATGGTGAATTCACATATTTATTAGCTAAGTTATCAATAGAGAATTTTCAAAATCTAAAAATGTTTCATATACTAGTCTTAATTTTTCAGAAAGCTTTACACTACACTTACGTTATCCTTTATGATTTTTACACATTTGAAATTAGTGAGATACATATAAATCTAAAGTATCAAACTTTATATTCAAAGAAAAGTTGTATATATACGCACACATGCTTTCTCCACAACTATAGTGGTCTTGTTTAATTCTTATTAAAGGACTTTGGGATAGCTGACATTTATTGTAATTTGTCCTTACTTTTTTATATTTGTTACCATTGTTTATACATGAGTATCAGTACGATAATGAAAAGCAGTGAACATTATCTCACTCAACAACTTCCATTTCTTGGTTACCCGTCTTAACAGCTTTGTTTTCTTTTATCTTTTTTCCCCCTGTACCATGGATTGAATTCACATCCTTACACTTGCCAGGCAGGTGTGGCGACATTGAGCTACATCCCTGGCCCTGTTTTATGTTAAGCTAGTTCAAGAATGGGGAAAATTTCTGAAGTTAATATAAAGTGTGAGCTTTGCCAGGAATCTACTGCTTTATCATAGCAGTAAGAGAAAATGGTAACACCCTGCTTTGGACTCTCCATAGTCCTGAAAGTGCTTGCTTCCCCTCTCCCATGTGTGTCAACGAATCCTTTGGATTAGGGGTGGACTGTAGCCAGCAGGCCAACTTTCCAGGTTTCAGAGTGAATTTGTATATTTTTGGGAAAGGGAACATGATTGAGTGACTGGTGCACTTCATACTTGGAGTGACTTTTCAGACAAAAGCAAGACTGGCCAGAGAACAGATATGCTATGTCCAAAGCAGGTACTCAATGTCATGCTCCAGCTCTCCATCGTAAAACTGACTCTGCAGACAGCTACACAGACTTCCACTTGGCTGCATCAAGTTGGAAAGCATCAAAGCGCAACAGACAGCATTGCATTCAAAAATACAACATACAACACACAAAGGCTCCGAGGGTGGGGAATGATCAAGTCTGACACAGCAAGCAGGCTTCCTAATCACCTTGCAAGGAGTCTGGGTCCAGAAGCTACATCTTCAGGTTCTAAGAATATACAAGTTCATGGGCCATCCCTCTTAAAGAAAGCTAAATGCCCTTACATCTACAGTTAGCAGATTCAGCAAATAAAAACACCTGGTTGACTTTGAAATTCCAAACAACCAATAATTATTTTAGTATGTCTCAACTACTATATGAAACATACTAAAAAAATAATAATAATTTATCTGAAATTCAAATGCAACTGAGAGTCTTGTTTTTTTAATCAGGTAACTTTATCTGTAGGTATCTGCTCCCTGAAGGACACATCTTTAAAAAACAAAGGTAAACAAAACCAAACCAAACCCCTAGGTATCATGCTGAGAAAAAGATTAAATTGGCAGGTGCTTCTCAAGTATTTGTTTTTGAGGGGATTGTAGAGAAACAATATAATAGACAAATGATCAGATAAAACAAATAAAGAACTTTGGCATGACTAACAATTGGGCATTAAAATTAAAAGCAGGAATTGCAAAATTTTGGAGTCATGAAGAACCTGAAAGGATATGAATGATTGTGTTGTTTTGATTAGTGTTTTATTTATTTTTACTTGAAAATCTACATGGGCTATATAATTTCCCCAAAGGAAATATATTGTAACTAAACAACCATCAAAAGTTTGGAATTACTAGAAGCAAGGTTTTGTGTAATATTCCCCTAATAAGATTAATTTAGTACATATTGAAGATATACTCCTAAGTGAAATAAATAAGTCACACATGTGTAAATACCAAATAGTTTCCCTGGTGTGAATATTCTGCAACAATGCATAAGATCCTAATAAGATTACTGACATTTAGAAATTTGAAGAAAGGATCTAAAGGTGTAGGGAAGGTGTGATGCGTAGGGGAAGAACAAAAAGGGAAAAGAAAAAAATGTGAGAGAATGAAAAGATGAAAATAAAGTGTTTGTAGATGGGGAGGGGAGGAGGGGGTGAAGGGAGGGCAGAGGTAAGGGGAAAAAATGAGAATCAAGGCTTGCCATGTAGAGGTACATGATCCCAACAATGAATGTAACTGTACTGTATCCCTAAAATGTACCAATAAACTCAATAAAATTTAAAAAAAAAGATTAATTTAGGGCACTTTAATTAATTGCCCCATAGAATATCATTATATATGTTGTTATTATAACATGATAAAATAATGTAGTATCATTATTATTCCTCTGATTCTATAGATATTGGGATGAAAATAAAGGTGGAAGAACGTTAAAAAAAAAAGAAAAAAAGTAAAAAGTGGGCAAGCACACAGATTATTTTTCTTGAAAGTTTCTAGCCTAGATATAAGTCTATTCACATCTCAGTGACAGGGAGTGTTCATTTCTTAAACAAAAAGAGGATGGTTTCTTTTAGGGTTCAAGGAAATGACCAGAAATTAAACTCAACTAGGCACATTATGAAATTTTTCTTGTGCTTAGTAATTAAGGATTAGCAAATAATTTTATTACCTCAAGACTAACAAGTTATAACTAGGGAAACACAAATATAGACTTTAAGTTCTTTAATGATTTGACGTATCAATTGTTGAATAAGAGAGTATTAAATAATACTTAAAATCAAGTAAATTTAGTCCTACAGCGGATTTTATCTGGGTTATCAGAAATTTCAGCACAGAAACAGTGTATAAAATACAGAGAAATGAGAATGTGAGGAGAAATACAAATAAAGGGAAATTGGGCAATTTAAATGGAACCAGATACCAAAAATGAGCAACAGTGGGCAATATATTGCTTCTGCAACTATGATTCAGGTTAATAATGTTCACTAGTATTTATTTAGGATTATTTCTGTTGCCTATGTTTTAAAATATATCTATACTGCAGTGGTCCTTAAGCGTCTTATTCCCGCTTGTGCATGTATAAGGAAGTGCTCTCCACCAGGAAAAAACTGACACTAGCTGGTGTGCCATGACACGATGACCAAAGAAAATTAAAGAAATGAGAAATTTTTAAAATCCTAATATAGATTAGGGGAAAGAACTCTGGGATATCTAGTATTTAGTTACAGAAGGAAAACTGTCTGGAGTTCAGTATTCACTTCAGGATGTATGGTATAACTATTTCAGCCAAGACACACCTCCACTCCAGCCAAGGAAATCAAGTCAAAATTAAAAATCAAAATAAGATTAGACATGGAAAGTGTATGTAATTGAACTGGTTCATCATTTTTTTCTTCTTTGGTGGTACTTGGATTGAAACCAGGGTCTTCACACTGAACTCTATCCCCAGTTTTTATATTTTATTTTGAGACAAGGGCTTCTTAAATCACTAAGTGGCCCAGTATGGGCTAGAACTTGTGATCCTCCAGCCTCAGCCTCCAGGAGTGCAAGGATTATGGGTATGTGCCACCACACATGGCTCAACTTGCCTTAAACTTGCTATGCAGCCCAGGCTGGTCTCAAATTCATGATCCTCCTGCCTCAGCCTCCCACATGCTGAGATTACAAGCATGTTCCGCCATGCCCTGCTTCTGGTTCATCTTTGGTAAGGCTGGTATGGAACTAATTTGATATTTTAAGGAAATTTACCCAGAGCCCTGAAGAATTTTTTGCAGCCAGTCATCCATGTACGTTCAGAGGAATTTAAAGTGTGTCTGTTTTAATAAACGCATTTGAGATGCACGTTAAACCATCTGCACCAGGAAGATTAAGCAGTCTCACTGTATAGCTCCCATTCCCATTCCTAACACATTTCTTACCCTATGGAATTTTGGGGGGTGAAGTTTTAGCAAGAATTTCATAGTATGTTATCACAAGGGTCCTTCCCAAAGCCAGGAGGCTGGCTTTGATGATGCACACACAACCAACACACACCCGCTCTCAGCGCCAATGCACTCTCTCCCTGGGGTTATTTCTGACCCAAGCCATACTCACAATGTTAGTGACATCTGGAGAGGCTCCGTTCTGCAGCAGAAGGAGGACAATGTTCAAGTGGCCCATGAAGGCAGCCACATGTATTGGTGTGAGGCCAGACTGTGAAACAAAGCAACAGCAGTTTTACTCCTCTGCACCCGCGAGGCTTTGGGGCTTCTTCAGATGCATAAAACTTGAGTGAGAAGGACAGAAGGTGGATGAAAGGCAAGGGAGGAAGGAATAAGAGAAGGAACGCTTTGTGATGAGCTGAAACAGTGTTCTACCTCTGTGATAGCTTGGATTGAAGCCCCATATTTCACCAGCAGTTCCATGACTTTGATGCGGTTTTTCTTGCAGGCAATGTGCAGTGGAGTAAAACCATTCTGTGCAAAAGACAATCGAGTTAGTCAAAAACATGCAGAAACGATTCTCACACAACTCCATGCTGGCACATGGCAGGCAATCATGTTACGTTGTCACACTGTCTCCGCTTCCCCAAACTCAGAAGGTACTGCTGGATGGGAAGAAAATGTGGTGGTGTGTTCCTGGGCACGCTGGCCTTCTGTGTGTAATTCTGCATGTGTGCTTACCGAGAAACTAAAGAAGAAAATACCTGAGACAACTGCAGAGAAGGAAAAGTGGAGGGGCAACTGAATTTCGAAGCTCTAAGACATTTTAGGGCACACTGATTGGTCAGCTGACCCAAAGATGTGCTGATGAGAAGCCAGAGGACAGGAAATGATCGGTTATCTTCAAAATCTAAGAACGTGAGCACCTCTATACTAAAGATATCAGCTTTGCTACTTTTAGACAGAAGGGCCTCAAATCAGGAGAAATCATCATTTATGCTGATGAAGCTCTAATTTTATATTGAAAGTTTCTATAACATATAGGGCAATAAGATACATTTTTATAAAGAAGTGAAATATTTTCCAAAATATTTTATTTATTTATTTTTTTGAGACAGGGTTTCACTATGTAGTTGAGACTGACCTGGAACTCACTATGTAGCCCAGGCTGGTCTCAAACTCACAGCGATCCTCCTGCCTCAACCTCTGGAGTGCTAGGATTACAGGCGTGAGCCACCACACCCAGCTGCCAAATATTTTAGAGGAAAGCAGGGAGAATTTCTAGGATAACTCCAGAAGAAGGTGGAGAGTCTGTAAGGTACTTTATAACTTTGGTAAACACGACTAACGTCCAGGAATTGGAGAAATTATGTAAAAGTTTAACTCCATGCCTGACTGTTATATATTTGTCACCTTTTTACTTAAATAAGGATCTTTTATTGACTTATATATCTGTTCTGCCAGTTAACAATTTTGCATGTCCCAAGGAAGACAGATAATAAGGTAATAGTTTTATATATCAGTAGTACTCAGAAAAGCATAGAGTCTTAAGCTAATGACTTTATTTCTCACAATGCAGTGAAAGTTTGCTCCATTTCCAGTATTTATAAGCTATATAATAAGCCAGATATAAACAGCCACATGTACATATAGCACTTGAAATATGTGCAATTAGTAAATTGTGGTATTTTAAAAGCTTATTAACCACTGTCCAATTAAAATTAATATTTTCAACCTTCCACGAGAAAATTAATATCATCACATATTTATCTGTAACTCTGAAAATATATTAGCTTCCCAGATAATTATTAAATGGATTGCAATGGAAATTTTCCAGTAAAAGTATTTGATGATTTAAGTGTTATTTCCTCAGCTACTAAATGAAGAACTTTGACATAAACCACATGAAACATACAAGAAAGGGGATTTGTTTTTACTTTGAGAATTAGGAAACAAGTGGCATAAATTAGTACAGGCCTAATACTCCCAGTGGTTATTGTTAGAATATAAGTTAAAATAAGGAAGATTTACTGGATATTAGACCTTGGGAGACACAGAAGCTGCTCTGGGGACTGACCTGGAAGTTTTCTCTTGAGCAATTCCTGGAATGTTTTCTATGAAATGCTTCCCAAGGCAGTAATGAAGCAGGGTTGCTTTTCTATTAGCCATGGTTGGGAAGTCAGGTCAATAAGGAAACTCCCCATGTATACTCTCCACGTTTCTGTTTGGTACTATCTTCCATACTCAGATGGAGTCATCACCTTAAAATCTATTTTTTCTCAAAGAAATTAATATAGTTCAACCTTTTCATATTTGTACTCTAGAATAACACAGAACTGATTTTATAATTTCCTGTTTTTCAGGTTCTATTTTCTGACCACAGTTTTGTACCTCTCTGTCCACAACTCTCCGGTTTCAGAAATGTTACTTTGGTGCTCTCTTGCATCTGCCCTTGCTTACCGTCATGTAACAGGAAATAATGGAGGCGTGAGGTAGGCAAGCACCACACGGGGAGTGACCAGTGGGGCCAGGTCAGCTGGTACAGGTGCCACTGGTCAATCCCCGTGGATTTGCTTGTTTGGGGCTTTATTCAGATAACACGGATTGGCCAGGTTTACCAGGGCTCTGGCATTCGGGTTGGCTCTCTTGTCCAGGAGGAGTTTGGTGACGCGGTAGTGGCCACAGTGTGCAGCAACGTGGAGGGCCGTCAGGTAGTCCAAGGTGACATCGTCGACAGGTGCCTTGTGCTGCAGCAGGTGTTTCACACACTCCACGTGGTCTCCCTGCGCAGCCATGTGGAGCGGGGACAGCCCATTCTGCACAAAACAACACCGAGACCACTTCTTAATTATTCCTCTCAGGTTCTGAAAGGCAGCAAAGGCAATTCTTCCTCTATGACACAGTTTGTGGCAGGAGAAAAAATATGCTTCATTTAATGTTTGGATTAAAAGCAGATTGAAGGAAAGGGAAGCAGAGAGGAAATTTATAATTTATACTTATGCATCTTTTAGGGAAACCACATTAATTAATGTTTTGCATTAGTGAATATGTATGGCGAGTCCATTGTTAGGGTAATATTAAATATATAGGAACAAGTGATAGCGAATGCTTAATTATTTGCATCTAATTTCACACACAGCAGTTACATTCAATTAAACTCTCTACTGACATTTCTTTGCCTATAAAAAGAGGAAAGTTGGGTTAAGGAGGAGCAGGTAGGTGGATCAAAGAAGAAAGTGAAATTTGGTCATCTCTGATCATGAAATTCTATGAGTCCCTTTTCAAGTAGTACTATGGGACTTCACAAGGACTTAGAGAGAGAGAGGCCAGAGGAGAGTGAAGTTATGGTGGACCATTTGTCAGTGATCTCACAATTTTAAATGTGAGGATAATCTAAATTAATCATCATAATAATGCCCCAAACAGCTTCACCCTTAATTCTAGAAACACAAGACAACAGGGTAGCGCACTGGTAGTCACCAGTCTAAGACACCCTTTTCTTAAGGCTAACTAAACTTCAAAGAAATATATGTAAAATTAGGAAATCAACTGAATTAGAAAAATATTTACCCATTCAAGAGACTGGATTATTGTTTTTTCTTAATAACTATTCCAAGTACGGTCTCTATAAAAATGACTAAACAGTTTGGTAATCATTACATTCAAATAAATAGAAATTATACCTGAATAAGATGCCAGAAAAAAAGCCTACAGCTCAATATTATCAAAAGGGAAGGTGAGTCCAACAGTTTAAAATAGCTAAAAACAGATACATTAAAATCTCTTTTTCTGTTAGCACACGTTTGCAGGACATAATGATCACATTCCCATGCGGAGCTGGTAGGAGTACGTGACACATCTTAATTTCCTGTTTTATCCCCTTTCCCGTCCTGTCTTCCTTCCCTCTGTCTCTTGATCTCCCTCCCATGTGAGAATGATCTATCTCCCTTCTTCCTGTACTCTTTATTTATACTTCGGGGTTCTCGAATTTAAAAAGCCATGTGATATTTAAGCTTCTGAGTCCGATTTATTTTTCTTAACATTATGGTCTCAAGGTGCATCTGTTTTCCTATAAATGTCTCGGGTTTATCTTTCTTTATATGGCGGTTTGTGCACGGTAGAGTTCAAGTGACTTAAATAACATTTTTCTTTTCTGAAATAACCTTCATTCACAATTACTGCTTTCATGTTTAGAAATCCATAAAACGAACCTAGAAAAGAGAAGTCGGCTGATGAGAAGGTATTTATGGAAAAGGAGTGGGTCTTGAGACTATACATTAAGTTCACAGATACAGCAAGTTAAATATCACATGGCTTCTCTTATATGAAAATCCAAAGTATAAATAAAAGAAAACGAAACAGAGATGGTAGGAAACAGGAGGTAGACTTTTAAAGACAGGGAAAGGGATAAAGGGATCTAAAATGATTAAGATATTATTTACATATGTACCACTTCCTCAAAATGAATGGAACTAGTATGTATTGCAAACATAATTAACTAATAATTAAATAACTAATTATGTTTTAAAGGTAAAACAAATTTAGGCCTTGACAATGTTTAGACTGCGAATTAAAATATCATAGAAAGTTACGAACACTAAGGAGAAACATGAAAGGATGGAATGTCCAAGGGAATTCGTGGCTATGAATGCCTTACTGAGAAGGTGAAGGATGACCTAAAAGGGGAAAGGGTGGGCAGAAGGGAAGCAAACACTGTGTCGTGTTGGGACGCACGTGATACCAGAGACATCCACGGACAGTGAGGAGGAGAAGGTGTCTCCAGGTTAGAAAATTAAGAGGCTGCATGGGGAGAGGAATTTGGAGAGGTTAGGGTCTTTTCAAGTGAGAACAGTGCTTAGCATGTTACTTGGGGAGAGATGAGGTGGGTTGAGGGGTTAGAGCAATAGAATTACCCTGGCTGTCAGGGTACGAACAGATTAGGGTTGGGCTGGGATAGCTCGGTGGTTCTGCCACCTGCCTCACAAGTGCAAGGTCCTGAGTTCGATTCTCAGTACCCCCCCCAAAAATAGAAAGAACAGGCTAGGCTAGAGGGACAAGGAGGCAGGCCAATTAGGGACCTCTTGCAGCCATCCAGATGGGATGGTGACCTGGACCAAAGTGGTGGTCATTGTTAGGAAGCTGCTGACTTAATGATACATTTTGAAGGAAGAAGCAACAGGGTTTGGTGACAGGATGTGGAAAGTAAGAATAAGACATGAAGTACTTGGTCTGAGAAACTGGAAGGACGGGAAGACCATCAGCTGAGATAAGAAAGGCCTCAGCGGAATTAGGTTTAGGGTCAGGGAAATATCAGATGCTTAATTTTGGACTTAGGAAACTTAAGATGCCCAGAAGATATCCAAACAAGAACAGCGAGGTGATACCAACACATGGAATTCTGGAAATACGTACTATGTGCCACCACCAGGGTGTATTCACATGTAAAGACAGAACTGTATGAGATTTCATAGTCAGTAAAGCAGCGGGGCGGGGGAGTGAGTGCACTCTGGAAGTTCTCTCATTTACATACCCGAGAGGTAAGGAAGAATTCACACAGCAGATGGAACAGTGGGAGCCAGAAAAACAGAAGGAAAGCCAGAAGAATTCAGTGTCCGAGAAGACAAATAAGGAAGGGAGGAATAAGAATTTGTGTCCGATGATAGTAACAGGAAGAAACTTAGGGCTGGAAATTTAGCTAAGTGGTTCCACTGCCTGCCTCACAAGTGCAAGGACACGAGTCTGATCCCTGGTACCACAAAAAAAAAAAAAAAGAAGGAACTCAGACTGTATGGGTTCTGATTTTTGTTACTGAATGGATATGAAAGTGGAAATCTGGAAATTCCTTCCTGATTGCTTTGATTTTCTCAGTGTTGCAGGAAGTGAAGAAAAGGAAAAAAGGCTAAGAAGTTTAAAGGTAAAGTATAGACTAGTTAGTTGAAGAGCAAGAACACATGGAGTTGGAAATTATGATTTGAACTGCAGGTAGCATTATGGGCTGACTTGAAGTTAGTGATCAGGAATTTAAAGTGCGCTGAGTTGCTACAGCTGCATTGAAGCACATGAATGTAAGCTGGGTTTAACCAAAGTGAAATGCAGGATGAGTATGAATGTGCCAAAAAAGTGGTATACATGAAGAATTTATGCTGGGCAGAGAGGAAGGCAGAAGGTGAACGAGAGACACTGAAACTGTGACTAAAAGTCCCAGCAGCACATAAGAATTTCTGGAACTGGGGTTCTGAAGAGAGTGAGCTGAAACCCAGAAAGGAGTGTTGGAGCGTGGGAGGTTGAAACAGACATTACAGAGGGTTTACAGTTACCACACCGCGAGGCCAGCTGGGAAAACCTTCTCCTCTTTCACCCAGACCATTGAAGTCACAAAGAATTTGAAATGGCTGGTGGTGAAGACTCAATTTCCTGAGAGCTGAACTTTCAAAGAATGGCCAAGAGTTGCTTCCAGGAGAAAATAATGGGTTATTCAAAAGTTTTTATGGAAAGGAGAGAGGGAACAGTCTAACATTAGGTCCCTCTGCTATTTCTGGCTGTTGGTCCTATCTCCCTCCATCCTGATTAGTTCATCTTCTGCGCGTAGCTCCACCTCTACTTTTTCTAGTCATCTTCTATGTAGTTTGCCTAGTAAATTCCATGCTTCTTAAAGAGATAGTCCTTCAGTGTCCTGCCTGACATGCTGTATCTTCTAATCTATAGTGCCTGCATGAGTGAATGAATGGGTATAATCAGGCATTCATGGATACTTTATTCTGGGTCTTCACATCCCAACGATACTTGACTTTACAGGGAGAACATTAAAAGTACCCCCGAGGTAATGCATGGTCTTCATTAATGATATGACAATCACAGGCAAGCTCTGCAGTTTATGATTTATGAAGAGCCTATCTGCCTATCTTCAGTTTGATATGTTTTCTTTCTTCTTAACAAATAGCATTTACTTATTTATTTATTTATTTCTCATTGAGTTTATTGGTACATTTTAGGTACACAGTACAGTTACATTCATCATTGGGATCTTGTACCTTTACATGACAGGTCTTGGTTCTCATTTTTTCCCCTTGTCCCTGCCCTCCCTTCACCCCCTCCTCCCTTCCCTATTTACAAATAATTTCCATTTTTTTCATTTTTCTCATATTTTTTTCTTTTCCCTTATTTCCTTTCCCCTACCCTTCCCACTTCCTTTATACCTTTAGCCCTTTTCTTCCTGTTTTCTATTGGTTTTAACATGATTGGTCTAAAATTTTTTTCTCATTTAAATTTCAATGTTTCTTCAACAAAATTACCATAATTAACTCTGCATTACTGCCACAAAATGTTGCATTTTAAAGGCAGATTTTAATAACATTCAAAGAATAGGTGCAAGACTGAACATAATGCAGGTAATTCATTTCTCTTGCTATATTTCTGACTGGAAGCCACCTTTTCATGACTGGTGGGGCACCTGTGTCAGGATTAAGATCATTCTACATATATTTTACATGTGTGGGCTGGTCATTTCCAAGTGATTTTGGTTAAATAGACAATAAATAATATAAAATTTTAAAATATATGCTTGTGCCAGCTGACCTTAATACCAGCATTGGTTGATGCCAATACTATTTAGAGATGTGGAAGAAATATAAGAAATGTACTTTGTCCAAATTTTTATTGTATTTAAGGATCCATTAAATAGCTTTGGATGGTTAATATCAACTTGTGTTTCATGATATTTTCTGATAACTCAAAGTAAGACTAGATAATGAGGACCTATATAGTAATAAAGTTTTTTAAAACTATTCTTGATAATGACAACTGCCAACAAACCATGTGGTTTATTTATATGGGAAGGGTTTTCCTTAGCTTGAGCATATTAATTACATGAGGCAAAAATGTTAGATATATTATGCCATAAAGAACAACATGCTTGTTTAATGGTTCTTATAGGTGGTAAATCTTAACTTATACTTTCCATATCAACTCTACTAATCCCAAACATCAAGTAATTAACCAGCACTCGTGTTAAGTATTTTGACAAGTACTGCCTAAGAGATAATGATCAAAGACGCTAAAAGATTTCTCTTCTATTGCCACTTTAAAATAAATTTTTATGTTTCATACTTGTAAAAATCTAGAATAACAGAATATAAGAAATAGTCTAATTTATATATGGCATTGACATATATTCAAGTTTTTTATCTGCAGTAAGAGTTGTAGAAAACGTATTGGAGGAACCTGAAGGTATACATTCAACACATCTTTTTTTGGAGGGGGTACGAGGATCAAACTCTTGACCTTGCCTTTGTGTGGCAGGCAGTGGCACCACTGAGCTAAATCCCCAGTGCCTCATCCAACATCTTAATTCATGTAAGTGTTCATTTTAATAATTTTTAAATGGTTTGTTATATATTTCTTATTCCTAGCCCATACATACTAAGTAGAAAATGCTTGACTGATGATTTATTTTGAGAAATAAAAGATATGACCAAACAGGGATTCCAAGAGTCCTTTGGCCCCCACTATACCCACCTTAGTCCTTGCCAATAGCGGGGCACCGCGTTCCAACAGAAGCTCCACCACCTGGTCATGCCCACTTCGTGCAGCACAGTGGAGTGGTGTCAGCCCATCCTACCGAAAGAATGACAGCATTTGGCTTCAGTTCGTGTTGAGTTTTGTTTTTAAACCAAGACCGCAGATATTGGGACTACAGAGAGTGGGCTTCTGCGAGAGAGGAGAGTGGGAAGGGAAGAAGTCAGGTGGTTAAGATGTGCTAAGTATGCGCACTAGATCCTCATCGTGAATGTACTGTGCCGCACACATATGCCATTTTTTTAAAAGTGGATTTCCTAAACTTGATCCTGATGATCCTACAGATTAGTTACAGAATTGTAACCATAGAAATGACAAGTGAAAGTGAAAACAAACAAAGTCTGACAGAAAAATAGGCAAAACAGAAGCAAAGAGAGAGAAAGAGAGATCTTGCGCATCAGGGTTTATTGGAGTAAAACTGAGTTCCGTTAGTTTGCATTCCCAGGAGATGGGAAAGCAGTGCACTTGTTGAACATTTTAAAAGCCCTACTCACTTGGAACCAACATCATGAATTATATTAAGTTCTACTGCTTTCAGTTTGGTTGTCCTAACAGAACCTTTACCTAAAAATCTTTTTTAATCTAACTTATTATTCACATATATTCTCTTTTAAACTATCACTATATCAATAAATTCTACAATATGCCATAATGCTTGAAAAAAAGGACAAGTTATATTTTTCAGATTCTATAAGGATTACTAACATATATTTTTTGTTCTTGCTTTGGTTTTTTTGAGATGGGGTCTTCCTATGTAATTCAGGATGGCCTTGAACTCATTATATAGTCCAGGCTGGAGGATTTCCAGCATAAATCTCAACATTTAAAAATCATGTAATTATTTTCCAAAGATAAAGTTTATTACTGATAATAAAATTAAACTCTGTCTAATAAAATGCAGTACTGCTGTATGTTATGCTACTTATATCTTAGTACTTTGGGGTAGTTTCTGATTCCAGAGCAATCCCCAAATTCCCTCTGTCTTCCTTATTTTATTTTCCTTTAGGTTGGCATGGCCAAAAAGCAGAATTGGCAGAAAACTATGAGGCAAAATTATTGTAAAATAACAGTGAGCATGAAGAGAGAAATAAAACCCTGAAAATGTAAGTGAATCTAGTGATTTGAGGTCAGTATTGTCTCAATGGAAAAGGTGGAAGGGTAAGTAGCAATCAGAGAAACCAAAGTGCAATGAGCAGTGAAGATTTTGGAGGCTTCTGACATCGGGAACTCTAGCCCATCTTTTGTGTCTCCAGTGTACACTTTCCTCCTAACAAAAAGAATTCCTCTAGGTTATAACATTATTTCCGGCACACTATTCAGGGCCATCTGTGCTAGATATTTTGCATTTCCCTTGCAGATCCAGGCTCTAGCCTCCTCCACTAAAACTCTGCCCTGACAGGTATCACGGGGCTTCCTTGCCCTCTGGGCTTCTGGCTGGGTTTAGCCAACAGGAAAGGCAGCCAGGGCTATACGGCGCCCTTGGAGGGCTCTCCCTAATCTGGTGGTACATCTTTACCAAAAGGTGACAAAGCAGCCTTTCTGTGTGATTCTTGAAAGTTTTGGGAACCTCTTCTGCTTCTCTCCTTTCCTGCCAGGGTTGGCATTGAGCCCGGCAGTTACTGGCTCAGGGGATAGGCACTATGTTTTGTGCCTTTGCTACAGTCTCCCCATAGTATTATAATGGACCCTTTAATAAAGCTTAATCAAATTATCAAATTTGAATGTACCAACTGTTTTTGTCTAGGACCTTGTCTGATAATGGCTCTATGCTTTGTTAAATCTATTTAGCAAATGTGAAGTTATTCAATAATTAAAATAGACCTTGCAGTTTAAGGTATCTGAGAATTAGCATAAGACTGCCTTTCCAGGAAAAAAAGTATTTAGCTACTATGGTTGGGAAGCCACAGTACTCTTACAGATTTTCCAGATAGGAACCTAAAAAGAAAAATGTGCTAGCAAAATGGTTGACATAATTATGCTTTCATATCTTGATAATAGCACCCAGGGAAAACTACAGAGCAGTTGTTGCCATGTAAGATATATAACAGGTTGATACAGCATGGTTCTCAATCACACTCTTAGTGGGGCTTCACTGAGATCTAGAGTCTGAGATACCCCATGGAATGAACGGCAGCATCGCAGACAATGGTTCAGAGTGTGGCGTCACAAGGCCCTGGGGTCATCACAGATCAGACCACAAGCCACTCTCTTCAAGACTCAGCTTCATGTTACATAAAAATGGGTTGATTTTCCTTCCTCTGGTTAACTTACAGCCTTATAAGAAAGAAGAGGGAGGACATGCTGCCTTACATCACTTTTAGAAAAGGTAGAACATCATTTTCTATAAATTATTGAAACATTCATTGTACCTCCAAAGTACTTTTTTTAGAGAACATTTAATATACATACAGAAATGGTAAACATTATATTACTTCAAATTTTACATTTAATGATGCAATTGCATCTGCTCTTTTTGAAGATGTGTGAATGTTGATATCAAATTCAAGTTGCCCAAGGTCTTTCTGACTAGAATTGGGATCTTCTCTACAAAGTACAGTATCAAGTTAATGTTAAAAAAAAAATCATTGTTCAGGTTTTGAAGGATCTTTTCACTTAAATTCTTAACACTGTGCTTCAAGATTGTTTCCCCCACTCCAGAGTCCCCGTCCTTGTGTTCCCTTTTTTTCATTATTAGAAGCAGTTTGCTCACACTCAGGTCCCAGCCACTACAGTCTGGGTAACTCTAAAAAGGGACAACCGATCAACATTACAGGAACATAATTCATCGAGCTGGTAACCCACAACATTATCTTTTTACAACCATTTATTTCCTAATATTTTCCTTTCCTCTTCTTTGTTTAGGGTGCTCTTCTAAGAAATAGATCCCAAAGTTCTGCTATTAGCTAACAACTTATCTGTGTGGCCTGTTATTTAACTATGGGGAAATTCATTTTTTCTTTTTGATGGTCTCATTTCTCAAATGAAGACATCCATATTTCTCATTAAGAAAATAACACATACATTATATGTCATTAAGAAGATCAAATTAAATTATATTTGTAGAATATTTAGCAGGGTATGCAGAACAGCAGATGTGTTTGACAACTGGTAGCTATTTATTGTTATTATTTTAATTATCAAATGTAATAATAAGTAGCAAGGATGATCTCTTTTTCTGGCATGTTGTTTTCGTTCATCATCCTGTAATGTTTTTGTGTATTTTTATTGTTTGCATTGAAAATACATTTCAATATTTTAAACAATATCCTACTATGAGGTGTCTGCACATTTATAAAAAATAAGCTTAAAAGCAAAAAGAATAATGTCCTTAATAAAGTCCAAGTTAATAGTTTTATCTTAACTAGCTACGAAATTTATGCTTTAACATTAAAATGAAGCTTTTAGATATGAGAAAAGGATTCTGAGTATAATGTCTCAGAATTTCAGAGTAGAATCTCATCAATGAGGAGAGCAACAGCAAGAGGCAGACTGTTTCAAGGATTATCAGAAAAGTCACAAGAGGTGGAGAGAAACTTGTGTCAGATTTTTTTAATTACATCAAAGCTTCTATAGATCTTGCCTTTCTCTACACAATAACAATCATACAAATGAGAAGACAATGAGAAGAGCAAGGCAAAATTCTCGATCAGTTTTCTAAACTCAGAGTAGTGTATTTGTGGTTCGTTTGAGTGGTAGGGGAACTTGAGAACTGTGTGGCAAAACAAGGGAATAATATTTATTTTTTAAAATTCTACATATAGAAGCTCTACTATATTATCCAAAATGAAGTCAAAAGACATTTAACATTTCTCTATTTTTAAATACATTTTCAAGAGACAAAAGAAAAAGCAAACTATATCTCATTAGTAATCACTATTATTTCAGAATTAGTCTCCATGGTTCTTGATTTCAGTATTTACCTCCTACTTGATTTTGTCTTTGGTATAAGGGACACAGCTTATTAGCTGTAGCCAGAATGGAAAGAATCTGACAATGCTTTTAAAATCCTAATGTTAGCTGGGCGTGGTGGCACGTGCCTGTAATCCCAGCACTCGGGAGCCTGAGGCAGGAGGATCGCTGTGAGTTCAGGACCAGGCTGGACTACATAGTGAGTGCCAGGTCAGTCTCAACTACATAGTGAGACCCTGTCTCAAAAAAAAAACATAAATAAATAAATAAACAAATAAAATCCGACTGTTCCAAGATAAGGAAGTACTTTCACTCATGGGGGAAATGCTCAGCACCGTTCAATACTATACCTCATCCTGGCGTATGTTGTACAATTTGCTCAGACAAACTACAGAGAGCTGGTGCTGTGCCTCTCTTCCCAAATCTACATTTCCTGACACTGTGTTGGTGGCTCTAAACAGACCATAGTGGAAAAAAAGAGAATGAATTGTCCATAGTGGACAATACCGTGGAGACTGTCAAAGGCAAAGGCTACAATCAAGGCATTTTGGTTCTGTCTTTTTTTTTTGGAAAACCTATTCATACTTTACCAGCACACTGCCAACTACCCCTTGGTGACTTACATTTCTGTGACCGCAGAAACCTCGCCTGGCTTGTTAACTATTGTATGCCTATGTTCACGCTCCAAATAGGAACTGAATAACTATCTGATAAAAGAGTGAAAGAACAGAATGTCTCCACAAAGTACACAATTAGAAAATCTATATTTTATTTTTAAATCCTTGAATGAAATTCAGTTTATTTGCTGTACCTTGGACTTCACTGCATGACATATGGTCCAATACTCCCTTTCCAGGGCTCACAGTTCATTATTAACTTGCTCAAGAACAATGAATAACTAGCAGAACTAGAACAAGAATCTATTTATTTTCACTTCTTAGGACTCTTGGAGAAAACACACTGCCTATTTAGATTTAGGCTTTTTAATTGAAAATGCAATGTATATAAATGAGGGCATCTTTTAAAGAACTAAGGAAATACTCTGATGATCAGTAACAACCTAAGTAATGAATGAAATACTTCAGATAAGCATAATGAAAGCAGTATGAATTCTTATGACACTGGCCAAGATAAAAAATGAAAACTTCTTGTATTTATAAAGTGCCATCTTTCCACTGCTAGTCTCAACTACTAGAGACTTCATAAAAACAAAAAGACTTGATGAAGGGAATGTGTTAGTAATACGTGTTAGTAATGTAACATTGTGTTACTAATGATGACAGTAATATAGTCCTGAACAGAAACTCCTTCCTTTAAATTAAAAGAAAAGATATGGAAAGAGACATGAAGCATTGTGTATATTGTTCCAAATTCTGCATAGACATAGCATTGTGAGGGAAAAGGCCAAACCACATAAAACTCTGATACAAAAACACTAGACACAGCAACAAAGACCTTGACAGATACAGGAAACCTCTCCACAACTATCACATGATAGGACAAACCACTCTGGACCCAAAGTCCTAGAAAAATGAAAATCTTCAGTGAGGTCATCAAATACCAGGATTTATAGTCTGGGACTGGTGTAGACTAGTTGCTTCAAGATGAGAAGGTTTAGTAAATATTTAGTACAAGAAAATATTTAATATTTAATATTTAATATTTAATACAAGAAAGGGCACAAAAGTGGTCGGCTAGCCTCGAGATGAGTAAGGGGAACAGACTTGGTCCTCACTGCTTGAACTGTGAGAACATGACATAGCAGAATTAAATAAAGATAAAATACTACAAGGGGCACCTTCTAACTAACATCTTCCATGGATTTTTTTATATCACATATTCCAACATTTTTATATTACAAGAATTCCTAAAGTTTTGATGAAGTCTGTGATTAAGTAAATCTTCTCTAGAGACCTGATATTGAAATACTACCTATATGCTAAAGTAACTGCACATAATGTAAAAAAAAATTTTTAAATTATGAGTAGCAAAGTAACTTGCCTATTGCATTTTTAAAAGCAAGGAATAGAGCTAAGAGTTAATTTTCACAGATCCTTATTAGCTTAAATTCAGATAAGGTAAGTAACCTGTTACTACTAGGAAGCTTAGAAAATGACAGAAGTAGGATTTGAAATCAAGCTGCTTTGCCTTTAGAATATTCACTCTTAATAACTGTACTCTATTGCCTATCATATGGGAATACATGAAAACTCAGAATAATTATTTAAGAAATTTGAAGTGACAAAGGATACCATCTCTACCAAGATGACACAAGTGAAGTTACAATATATCAACTGTAAACCCTTTAGGAAAAATGATTTAGGAATCAAATTAGAGTAAAAGATTTTTGCCATGTATTTATATAAAATCCACATTCTCATAGCCTAATATAAGCTGATAAACTTTGGATTTTGGTATTTGCAACAAACCAAAAGACAGATGGCTAAGGCCAATCTTTGATCTTTGTTCCCAGAAAACCAGTAAGATAAAACTTGAAAGATTGTCACATTAAGTTTCTCTGGGCATGTACGTACAAGCATTAATTTCACTTTATGATATGAAACCTTTAAATATTGTATGAGATTTAAATAAAAAACGAGAAAGCCGCATCCTTGAACACACACTGCCTGTATTTACTGACTAGTGTTTAAGGTGCCCGCTGAGAGCAGATGGAGTAATCCCAAGGTAGGGAGCTGGAACAGCAGGGACACTCACCCTGGTCTTGGCGTCAATCTGACCACCCCGATCCAGTAAGAGCTTCACCATGTTCGTGTTGCCCCTTTTTGAAGCGACGTGCAGAGGAGTGATTCCATTCTACACAAGGAGGAAAGACCAAAAAGAGCAAGTTGGACATGACAAGACTTTGGCTTAAAGGGCACAAAAGTGGTCGTGATCCATATTGTAATTGGACACACAGTTTCTACATTTTTTATTTTTAAGGGACAAAGAAGTACACAAACCACAATGCACTATTTTTTTTTTTTGTACTGGGGATCAAACTTGGGTCCTTGCACTTGCGAAGCAGGCGCCCAAACCACTGAGCTATATCTCTGGCCTGACAATGCACTACTGGAATGAAACTTCCTAAATTAGTCAATAACTACTGTATGTATGTGTATATATACATATATATGTGTGTGTGTGTGTATGTATGCATGTATGTATTGGATATACAGTTTACAGTCAAGGGACAAAGGGAGAACTACATAATAGAAAACAAAACCTCAAATTCTACCTACCACAGATCCCTAGCACAGTCATCCTTTCATAATATTCATTCACTTAAACACTTTGGGACTCAATATTTTCTGTGCTTAAAAATATGTTACAAGTATACATTATTAGTATGAAATGGAATAATGGCTTTTTAAAAATCTTGAGGAAAATTCAGTAAGAAAAACAACTTGAAAATAACCCAAAATAGTTTCAGGGAAAAAGACATCTGAGGACAAAAACACTACACATAGTAATGATATTTATTTTGTAACTGTCCTGTGTCACCATTATAGCAAGGATATGATTTGAATTTTTGTGTCATAATCTCTAAATATTCAAATATTGCATTAATTGACTCAAATAGTTATATTCATGAACTTTATAACCAGCATATAAATGAATTCTTTCCAATAAAAGCAACCACTAATATATCACACCATGTGATGTCTTTTTTATGTATTTTAGTGAGATTCTTTAAATGAGTAAACTCTCAAGTCATTAAACAAAAAATTTTCCTGTGAGTTATATGCCTGCACTCTTTACCACCATAAATTATAATATCTATATATTTGTGCTTAACGTTTTAACATTGTTTATTTACTTGAAACTGATCTCATGATTTATGGCACATAACTACTCAAACTGATACCAAAATTAACAGCCTTTTGACCTACTGCAAAGTATTTGCATGCATGTAAACTTACAACATTCTTATTTTCTTCTTCTTGGGTCATAAAAACTTCCTATGATTTGAAGAAAAATACATGAGAAAATCTAGTATCTTTAGGAAGATCCAAGAAAGGGCGAAAATAAAACCTTTAAGAAAGTTATTGGCTTTCATTTTTACTCTCCTAAAACCCTCCTTCCTGCTGTCTGAGATGAAAACCTGCTGTAATCCATACCCTGGCTGTGAAGTCCACAGCAGCTCCCCGGTTGAGCAGAAGAGTAGCCACGTTGACATTTCCATAGTGTGCAGCTATGTGCAAAGGGGTGAAGCCACTCTACAGGAGCAAGGAGATGACAGTTAACATGGCGTTGCATCTCTGCAGCTGCTGGATTAATGAAGAAAATCATATGGTCACTGTCTACTTGATATGACAGAAACACAATTCCAATCATAAATGCTTGAATGACACTCTTTACATCTCAGTGTTATAAGGTGATAAATAGTTCATTGAAGAAGTTTTTAAAAATCCTGTGTGTGTGTGTGTGTGTGTGTATGCAACATTATTTTCATTACCATAACTCTTCATCTATTTGAGACTTGTTTGTACAAAATCATGTTTCTTGAGTTGGTTTAGTGTATTGGAGAAGAAGAAAATATAACTAAAATATAAAAAGCTTTAGCACAGTATTAACACGATCATGAATAAAAAATATTTTTTCAGAGAAAGATTCAAAACCAATGTTTATGGCCTTCTTTAAAAAAAAGAGTACTGGTTAACATTCTATTTTTGGAAATGAAATATGGTGAAAATTCTTACAAAAAATGCACAGTTAATTTCACATCCTACATTGCCATGATATCCCTACCCCCTTTACAACTAGTCAGTCATACTATGCTTTATAATGAAAAAAGAATTAAAAAACAAAAGTTAAAAAATATATTTTGTGCCAATGTGAATATGAAATAAAAAGTTCAGCTTAATCTAATTTTAAATGTTCAACAAAATTTTATCAATGAAATCAAAGGTAATTAAACCAAACAGTTTAAATTGATTATAGGGGCATTAAAGAACTGTTTACTCTCAATTTAAAAAAGAAATCTGAGGGCTGGGGATTTAGCTCAGAATTCCACCACCTGCTTTGCATGCATAAGGTCCTGAGTTCAATCGCCAGTATCAAAACGAAAAAGAAAAAGAAATCCAAAAATCTTAAATGAAAATTACTGTCCTTCGTTTTTTTTTTCTCTTAAAGCCAAAGAAATTTTTGTTATTTTCACAACAGACATGACATGTCCATTAACTCGTATCTTATTAAAGTGTGAAGAGATGTAATTTTTCTCTATAATTTTCATTATTCAATAAGAGGATGGGAAAAGTAGAGGGCCTTAATTGGCTATCAAACCCTTAGTTTTCAGGTTCTTTTCTTTTCTTTTTTTTTTTTTTTTGAGACAGGGTCTCACTATGTGGTTGAGACTGACCTGGAACTCATTATGCAGCCCAGGCTGGTCTTAAACTCACAGCCATCCTACCTCAGCCTCTGGAGTGCTGGAATTACAGGCATGTGCCACCATGCCCAGCAATTTTTTTTTTTTTTTTTTTTTTGGTAGTGGAGATCAAATTCAGGTCCTTGTGCTTGCAAGGCAGGCAGCAGAACCACTGAGCTAAATCCCAGTCCTTTCAGGTTATTTTCTATTGTTCTTTTTTACAAGAGATGAGCGTCAATGTGTAGCATATAGTTTTAAAGAAATATTTTCTATACTATAATCACTGTTCCTCTATTTACTTGATATATAGCTAAATAAGAACTTAGGTGATGGAAATTTTTCTGTGCTATGAACAACATTAGCTGTAAATAATTTTTGACTGTAGGAAAGCTTATAGCTTATAAAATAAGAATAGTAACTACCAATCCAATTTGTGGTCAAGATTTTTTTTTTTTTTTTTTTTTTT